TCTTTATCTTTCTGGCTTACTTCGCTCTGTATAATGGGCTCCAGTTTCATCCATCTCATTAGAACTGATTCAAATGAATTCTTTTTAATGGCTGAGTAATATTCCATGGTGTATATGTACCACAGCTTCCTCATCCATTCGTCTGCTGATGGGCATCCAGGTTGCTTCTATGTCCTGGCTATTGTAAACAGTACTGCAATGAACACTGGGGGTACACATGTCTCTTTCAATTCTGGTTTCCTCGGTGTGTATGCCCAGCAGTGGGACTGATGGGTCATATGGCAGTTCTATTTCCAGTTTTTTAAGGAATCTCCTCATGTTCTCCATAGTGGCTGTACCAGTTGAAGCAAACAGTGTTTTTTGTACCAGTTGAATCAGTGTTGGACTTCTTTCACTTAGCATGATGTTTTTTGACTTATTATGTCCTTTTTTGTTGCTAAGTAGTACCCCCTAAGCATGCATGTAATACAATTTGTTTATCCATTTACCAATTAATGAACACTTAATAACATGTTTACAGATTGAGGCTATTATTAAAAAAAAACAATAAACTGTTACTATGAAAATTTGCCTACAAATATTTGTGTAAACCCATATGCTCATTTCCTGTGGTAAACACTTATAAGTAAAACTGTTGGTTCCTAAAACAGATCCTGGCATGTATAGTTTTGTTGTCATAAGGTAACACTAAACTATTTTCCAAAGTAGATGCACCATTTTGCATACTACTAGCAACATATGAAAGTTCCAGCTAATATTTAGTCCTTAAATATTTTTACCCCCTTATTGTTCTTCTCTTTCTGAGACTACATTATATATGTTTGTTTTCTTTCTATTTTCTCTGTTCTTTACATAGGATAGTAGATCCCTGACTCTACTAGACAACAATTCTGTCTTTCCTCAGTGTTCTCTATCATGTTACTTTTAAGCTCATCTGGAGAATTTTTAATTTCATATATAGTATTTTTCAGTTCTAGAATATCCTTTGGTTCTTTTTATTATTTATATTTCTCTGTTTAAATAGTTCCTATTTTTTTATGTACAGCAAACTTAGATTCTTTTACTTCATTGAGGATTGTTGTAACAGTGGTTTTAAAATCCTAGTTGGGTTATTCCAACATACAAGATAATCTAGAGGTTGGTCTCAACTATTTTCTTTTTTTCTTGACAATCTATTATATTTTCCTAAATATTTATACATCAGATAATTTTGGATTCTATTTTAAACATTATGAATGTTAAGATATGGAGACTCTGAATTCTATTGTTTGTCCTCCAAAGAGTATTATTTCTTTTATTTTAGCAGGAAATTATCCTGGTTATATTCCAGCTACAAACTGGGTAATGGCTCCCAAATTAAATCTATTTTCTTTAAGTGAACTGTTACAGACCTAGTGTACCAAGTGTTGTTTGGGAGTCTACCAAAGATGTAGGCAGACAGAATTTGGACATTCCCTTTATGTCTATATTCTCTTCCTTTAGATTCCCCCTCTTTAATAGTTTCCCCTGGATTCAGTCTTCTGATTCCCCAAGCCAAGAAATCACTGGTTTTCCTGCCACACTGACTGCTGCTGGCTCTAGGTTAAAAGATGCAAAAATGAGAACTCATTCTGCAGAACTCTCTGTGTGTGGATTCCTTACAAGAATCTTCCTGGTTCTGTTTACTGTGAAGTTCCTTTATGTGACTGCTTTTTTTGTGTTATGTCCAAGTTTATGGCTGTTATCTTCAGGAAGGTCAATCTAATAAGATCTTTCATAGCTATTACCAGAAGCCAGTACTTCATATTTCTTAAAAATAGTAGTGTCAATCTAGAAAATAAATTTATTCAGGCCATTAATTCTTTAGCCTTCCATCCACATGTTTAACTCAAATTGATCTTATAAGATGCACTAGAAACTCAGTTCTCAATTGATCTTTTTCTAGCTGCAGCTTGGATTGCTTCTCTCTTAATCTTTCTTTTTCTTTCTCTTTCCCTTCCTTTCTTTTTCTTTCTCTCTTTATTTCTCTTATTCTCTCTGTCTCTTCTATGTTTGTTGAAGTTTTGGACAATTCTTCACATCAAGCATACTAACTTATTTTAACTAACGACACAGAATATCTAAACTTTACNTGAGAGACAGTGGAGGACAGGGAAGCCTAGCATGCTGCACTCCATGGGGTTACCGAGTCAGATGTAACTTGGCGACTGAACAACTCTTGAGTTGATTTAAGAATTAACTACACAGTGTATTATAAATGTGATTTTAGGTTTTTATAATTGCTTCTGTAAATTTCAAGTTCTTTAGTGATCAGACCCTCTGGGATGGAAGTGTGGAGTCTTAACCACTAGACTGCCAGGGAAATCCCATATAAATTCAAGTTTTTAAGTAATAACAACAAAAGAATTTTAGGACTTAAGAAAAAGAACATTACCTAGATACCCTATTTAAATCATAAAACTCAGGGAAATGAGCAAATGTGAAATCTACATTATGTGTAATAAAATACCATTGACTTTTAAAGAAGCAGATTATCTTTGGAAGTAGGGTATCTCTGCTTTAGGAACATATTTGGGGTTAATAATGCCCATTTTAAATATTATCTCAAAAAAATGGGGGCCTGTGTCCTTTTATTATGACTTTAATATATTTTAAGTAAGACATTTATTTTGAAAATATAACTTTCAAGAATATCTGAGCAAATGCCTATGCCTTTATATTCCTATACCTTTATATTTGATTGCTGGCTGAGATCATGATAGTCTATAATCATGCTCCCTTAACTGCTACAATATTAACAAATCAAATTGACTGCAACCATTCATTCATTCATTCAATGATTACAGACCACAAAGAGTCAGGCATGCATCTTGGTGCTTATCATACAGTAGTAAACAAACAGACTAAATACCTGATTTTGTGGTGCTGCTGTGCTGAGTCGCTCAGTCGTGTCTGACTCTGTGACCCCATGAACTGCAGCCCTCCAGGCTCCTCTCTCCATGGAATTTTCCAGGCAAGAATACTGGCATGGGTTGCCATCCCCTGCTCCAGGGGATCTTCCTGAATCAGGGGTTGAACCTGTCTCTTGCTTCTCCTGCATTGGCAGGTGGATTCTTCACCATTGCATGACCTGAGAAGCCCTACCTTTTAGAAAGGAGAAACAAATATAGCCAGGTTATAATATGTATTCTGAAGCAAATGTAGGAAGTTAAGAAGACAGGATAAATGAAGAGGAAAATGCTCTTTTACATAGTTGAGCTGGTGAAGATATCTTTTGAAAATGACACCTGAGCAAAGACCTCATGTGAATGTGGGACGGAGTCATAGAGCCAATTAGCAGGAAGAGAGATACTGGAAGAGGGGATAGTAAATGGAAAGGTCTTGGAGCAAGAGACTGTTTAGTACCCTATAAACAAGCTAAGAGAGACGAAAGATTCAGAAATAATGGTAACACAAGAGAGACTGCGCAACTGCATTATGGGAGGTGGGCATTAGTTACATTCAGGGTAAATAAGGGAAAATAATTTCTGATGGAATGGATCTTTGAGGTAGTAATTTTGGAAGTGTTTCGTAGGCAGGGATGGTGATGGACAGCCCAAGAAAAGAAATCATTAGAATTGTCCTTGGAGACCAATAGATTTTATCTTTTGGGAGAAATGTAGAGATTAGGAAGAGAAGTAATGAGAGAAGCTGAATAAAGATGTACGGCATTGAGAGTATGTTAGATAGGGATCTCAGGATAAGGAGCTTGCATTTCACATGATAGGAGATACAGTTTCATTAAGCATTTCAAGAATGGTTTGATTTGGTAAAGTGAAAGTGAACGTTGCTCAGTCATGTCAAACTCTTTGCAACCCCATGGTTGCAAATATACAGTTAATGGAATTCTCCAGGCCAGAATACTAGAGTGGGTAGCCTTTCCCTTCTCCAGGGGATCCTCTGAACCCAGGAATCAAGCCCAGGTCTCCCACATTGCAGGCAGATTCTTTGCCAGCTGAACCACAAGGGAAGCTCAAGAATACTGGAGTGTGTAGCCTATCCCTTCTCCAGGGGATCTTCCTGACTCAGGAGTTGTACTGGGGTCTCCTACATTGCAGGCGAATTCTTTACCAACTGAGCTATCAGGGAAGCCTCTTGATTTGGTAAGGACTAGATAAAAAGATGAATTTGACCTTTCTATATAGACTGTATGGAATGGAGAAGGGGTTTGTGGGTGCACTAGCCTTAGAGACCAGGTGGACTGTGGCCAAATGGATACTAAACACTATCAGACTATGCTGGGAATTCTAAAAGTTGGGAATCTGTCTTCTGTATTAATAGCATTGATCTTTTGTCCAAGTTATAATAAAACATTGCCGGGAATCTGAGCAGGTGGTCTACCTCACATTGCCACAGTTTGACAGATTATGAGAGTTTATGTTTTATTTCTTTCAGAGCTGAAATATTAATTCTCATTGCCCCTATGAACTCTTTCTCAGTATATTATTTATATTTAACCTATTTTAACTAAAATACATATGTTTATGAGAAAGGCTGTAGTAAAATTTCATCTAAGCATAAGATTTTATTAATACTTTTTCTTCTGAAGCCCCTTGAAAGAAAAAAAAAAGTGCTAACCGCCTGCTGTGAGTCTTTGGTCTTTTCAAAGAATGGAGTAATATCCTTGCTTTTTCTTTATTTTAGGAGAACTTGCTGTTTAATTTTCTTTATATATATAATTACTGGGAAAAAAAAATCTTCCCACTTAATGACTTTCTAGACAGAAAGCAAACTGAGTCTACATACCACTGTAATGAAGTATCTGAAAATACAATGTAATATTCACCCTCAAGCCTACATTCCTTTTCTGATATTTTCATTTTTATTTCTGAGAAAGGAAATTTTACCATCACAACAGTTAACTTGTATACATACATTTTCAAAGTCAGTTTCACCACTCCCCTGGTAATTATTTTCCCCCCACTTCCACTCAATAGATTGTCTCTTCTGAACCTGTTTTATTTTTCCCCCAGAAAATGCTAATACTTTACAAATGCATTATATTAACATCTTCTTTCACATCTATGGATCAACAGATATGTTTGGGAAATTTTCACAAGGGTTTTATTTGTAATTGATTTTACAGAGAGTTCCAGTATTTATTCCAAATAGTATGTAACATGGTAAAAGACCATGAAATTCAGTGGGGCTAATGTCACAACCTGGAAGATGACATGATCTGCAATGTAAATTGAGTTCAATTTCTTATATTTTATTGATGACTTCATCACCTATTCATATGTTTAGTGTTTCATTTTCTGTCTCATCTACATTTAATATGCTCCCTTACACTAAAATTAGCTAATAGAAGACAGATATAGCCCCATAAAGAAAAAAGAAAAGAGGGAGGACCTAGGAATTCACTAATCATTAATTATTTTCATGTTATGGGTATCATAAATGCAACCAAATTTCATGATCAGCTTTTAACACTAAGCCCAAATGTCACTACATATATTGAAGTTTGAATCTGTGGAGGAAGCATATAACATAGACACTAAAAATAGAATGAACCCTGAAAAATTAGTTACTCCTGTGTCATGAGCTTTACATGCATTTTTTTTTTTTTATAATCCTCACAACATCCCTACAAAGTAGATACTATTATTATCTGTATTTCGCAGCAGTGGAATATGAGTTTAGAGAGATTATTGCACCAGGCAATAACATAGTAAGTGTAGATCCAGGTTTCAAACTAAGCAATCTGATCCCAGAGTCCCAGCTCTTAACTGCATATCAACAAATGAAGAGAAAAATAGAAAGCAAAATTTCTTGTTTTTTAAATTGCTTGTGGGATTCAGTGGTATGGTATGGGTTTATCTCCCTCAGGGGTTTTAATTGAGAAAGTGGAGAAAAAATAGGCAAGAGAATTTGGTTCATTAGCTTGTATTTACAGATAGTGATAAATGCTGTTTGTATGACAATTCTATTGTGTTAAAATTTTTGAGTTTTTGCTAGATTAACATAAAAATGAGATAATAGTGCCCAGCTGATAAAGTATAGCTGTGAAAAGAATAATGAAAAAACACAATAGAACCTATTTAAAATTAATCTATACTATAAATACCAAACATTAAAAATGAAAAACGTTTAGTCATTACCTTTAGGATTCTGATAGTAACTTCAACGGATACATTTAGAATACAGTACCCATAGCCTTGGGAAAAAAGAAGTATACAAAACTTTATATTCTTTAATTGGGTTGGCCAAAATGTTCACTGAGGTTTTTTCCCGTAAGATGTTATGGACAACATATCAAATCATCCTTATTTCTTTTTTAAAAAGAAAGAAATAAGGTTCTGTGGTTGTCATAATGATACCCTCTATCAGGTTACCTTCATTGTGTAATCCCATGCAAGATGAAACTAGTCAGTCAGGTACTTTCATTGATATTGCAATAGATACTTATTTCTCATCTTTTAAAGGAAATTCTAGAGAACTCTCCAGATTCCCGAGAACTTTCATAGGATTTAGATAAACTGGGCAGGGTAGATCTGTCACCAAGAATCAGATATATGATTTACTTGAATGAAATTTCACTTTCCTGGGAGCAATATCAAAATCTACTATTTGTCAACACATCACCTAAATGTTTCTTCAAAAGAAAAGGGCGGGGGTGGGGGGAAGGAAAAGTTGACAAGATACACTGAATTCTAAAACTATGTCAAGAAAAACATGGTACTAAATTCCTTTTAAGCAGGAGGAATATGTTATATTTAAGACTTTCTATTTTCATTGGTATATGTGTGTGTGTGTGTGTGTGTGTTCAGTTGCATCTGACTCTTTGCAACCCCATGGACTGTAGCCCACCAGGCTCCGCTGTCCATGGGGATTTTCCAGGCAAGAATATAGTTACTTTATAATGTTGTGTTAGTTTATGCTGTCCAGAAAAGTGAATCAACTATACATATACACATACCCCCTCTTTTTTGAATTTCCTTCCCATTTAGGTCACCACAGAGCACTGAGTTCCTATACTATACAGTAGGTTCTCATTAGTTACCTATTTTATACACAGTATCAGTAGTTATATGTATCCATCCCAATTTCCCAATCCTTCCTACTCCTCCTCCCTTAATATTCATGTTTGTTCTTTACATGTTTCTGTATTTCTGCTTTGCAAATAAGATCATCTATACAATTTTTTCTAGATTCCACATATATACATTAATATATGATATTAGTTTTTCTCTTTCTGACTTACTTCACTCTGTAGGACAGTCTCTAGGTCCTTCCACGTGTATGCTGCATCTTTAGTTGCTTCAGTTGTGCTGGATTCTGCCACCATATTGACCATCCCCAGGCTCCTCTGTTCATGGGATTATAAAGGCAAGAATACTGGGGTAGGTTGCCAAGCCCTCCTCCAGGTGATCCTCCCAACCCAGGGACTGAACCTGAGTCCCTATGTCTCTTGCATAGGCAGGCAGGTTCCTCACCACTAGCGCCACCTGGGAAGACCTAGGTCCATCCACATGTCTGCAGATAACCCAATTTTGTTCCTTTTTATGACTGAGTAATATGTCATATTTAAAGATAATTTTTCAAAAATCAGATCACATATTCTGGAACCTTAGGTTTCTTATTATTATTAATTAATGAGTAATATGTTAGAGCAACTGCATTCTAAATGTTGGTTGAACTTCCTTTCTTTGACCTGAATTTTACAGATTAAAGCCTACATGCAAATGAGAAATATGAAGCAAGCACTTAAACAAGCAAAAACACTTTTCAAGACCATGTGTCACGGATCTCTCCTAGGGATTTCCTACTTGTGAATTTCCGCGGGCGCTGCGGGTGCTGAGGGCGGAGGATGCTCGGTCGCTGCTGGAGGAGGGAGGGAGGAGGGCGGAACTTGTAAAAAGGGAAGGACCACGACCCGCATCACGTCTGCCACCGCTGGACCCATGCCCCCGAGGCCCACCCTCACGGCGATTGTGGCTCCGGCCCGGGGGAGGGGGGCTTGCAGGGAAGGGACTGCTGTGCAATAAACGGGGCGCAGAGAGAGTGGCGGGGGAGGGAATCGTGGCTCTGCGGGGGCAGGACGGGGTCGGGAGGATGGGTCTAGCTTGATTCAGACTCTGCACCCAGCAACGCCACAGAGAGGGGGGAGAGAGGGAGAGGAGGTTGTGCTGTGTGTGTGCCCGCGTGGGTGCGCGCGGGTGTGTGTGTGTGTGTGTGCGCGCGTGTCTACAGGTAGCAGCGGCGGCGGCGGCGGGGACCGGAGCAGGGGACGCGTCTGCAGCCACCTCCTCGAGTGTGATTTTCGGAGGCGACTGCTCACTTAGCTGACGGATCTGTACCCTCGGGAGATCGTCTCATCCTCTCCATTTCTACGCGTCTTAGTCGTCTTCCAGTTTCAAGTGTGTGCTTTGGGTATTTTATTTTTAATTTTTTTTCCTCCTCCCTCTAAATCTTCTCGGGAATTCTGCATATTGAAGCAGGTTGCTCCTGGTACGAAATCTTTGGATACATTTGGCTTGCCAAGTTTTTCCTTTCCCCGTCCCCTCCCGCTTTCAGAGGCATCTGTGGTGCTTTTCTTTTTGGATTTATCCGCAGAAAACGTATATATGTTTATATACCGACCGCATAATATATAAATACATAAACGCGTGCCCAAGCGCTGGGTTTTCGTCTCTCTTCGCGACAAAGCGGAATGTTTTGGAGCGGATGGATAACGAGAACAGTATTAACATTCTTTTGAGCCTGTTTTTTCCAAAGGGGAGGGAGAGTGAAGAATTGTTTAACATTCGGCCGTCGTTTGGCTGCACACTAAGCATCGCGAAGTATTTATGGTTGCAGATCAGGTGCAAACGGGGCTTAGAGAGAAAGGTAAGGGAGCTTCCTGCGTCCACCGAGCTCCGGCGTTTTTCTGAATCTCGGGATTGCCGAGAACTTCCTACTCCTCGCCTCTCCCTCTTCTACCCCACCTCCACCCACCCTGCCCTGCTCTCTCCTCCGTACGCTTAACCCTTTTTCAATTCCGTCGGGTTGGGGCGGGGGCGGGAGAAGAGGGTTCCTGGGGGGTGGTAACGTCGGTTAGAGTTTAAATGCTTCTCTCTCCCTAACCCCCCCCCCNGGAATGATTTATTCCAGAAGAGGTTGTTAGAGTGTTATAGAGATGAGGAAAATTCTGTGTCTAATATTTGATTCATTTGCGATCATTCTGAATCATGAGTAGTTGCTCTCCATAAAGGTATTATGCTATTTCTTTTTTCATTTCCAGGACCATAGTGATACATATAGGACTTAGGAAACATGAATTCGGATAACTAACCTCGTGTCTGTTACTCTGCCATTTTATAGATACTTCATATACTTTTTCCTTTTTTTTATACTGAAACTACAGTAGACTATTTTTGCTTAAATAAATGATCATGCCGTCCATGAAGATTCCAGTCATATTTCTCAAAAATTAATTGTGCTTAATTATAAATAGGATCATAGATATAAAAATATCACTTGGGAAAGGTGGAGGTTCATGTGTGTGAAAGGTATAACATGCCTCAGCATTTCAATCGGCCTAACAGAACACCAGCTTTCTGAAATGAGCTCAGAAGCAAGGGCCATGCACATACTTAAAATATTAAATGTTAAGTACAAAAAACATTAGGTTTACCGTGCTCTTGGCAGAGAATGAATATAAGTCTACCTGCTCAGCGGAGTGATTGAGTGATTCACAGAGCAAGTGGAAGTTAATCATTACTCAGGCCTTCCGATTACACGGTTTGATGAAAAGAAGTAACTGTTATCTGTAAGCCTGCCATTCTCCAGTTAGTCTTTCCAATCCTCTTAACATAAGCAGAAATTGAGGGAGTCAGTCTTTCAGCCTACTGTAGTAGACTTCCTGCCCTGTAGGTTTTCAGAAAAGCCCTCTGAAGCAACTCTCCTTTCCATAGTCACCCTCCTTCCACTCTAAAGTACTTTCTCTCAGTCTTTTATTCCCTTAGTGGGGCTTCATTTTGTGAAAGTTTCCTTTATGTTTAGGCATAACATATTTTCAAATACAGATGTCTGAATTGTTTTGAAATTGGAGAAGGAATATACATTCATAGAAGGTAGGCTGAGAACTCCTTTTGCTACAGGTAGAGTATTTGAATGTTTGATGACTCTTTTCATGGTTGGCTGAGTTTCCTGACTCTGAAGTCTCTTCCAACCCTGAAATTCTTATATTTTATTCTATTTTTATTATTTCCACATGGTTATCCAGTGACAGGGTCTATATCGTCCTTCACATTTCTTTAATTAGTTACAATTTTTATAGGACAGTGAACTAGCTATAGCTGGAGAATACAGATATAAACATACACTCCAATGTTATTAGCAACTTTCTGAGGGACAGTATTGATTAGTGGGTATAATTGATAAATACCTCTCTGGGTTTCCATGTGCTGAAACAAACCCATCTCTAACATTCTTTAAAGCAAAACATAATAATCATTTATTTTTAGAATTCTTTTTTAAAGTTTTTATACAAAAAGAATTATTTTATGAATTATCTAACAAATATTAATTTGTAGTTTTTGTAAACAAAACACAATTGGAATTAACAGTAACGTCGGAAACTGCAACAGTTCAACAATACACTTTTGCCACATTTAAGTATTTTGAAGTGAAGTTTGGTATCTATCTTATTAGAATGTAAATAGAAAGTTATGATTCCTCAATTATATTTAATTATTTGTAAATGAAATCATCCGAGACCAGTTTACCTGTTACCTATTTTTCTAAAACACAGGTATGGTCTTACAGATCTTTTATCAGCCATGGCCAGTGGCTCTTTATATTTTGGATGCTAATAGCTATAATTCTGAGGGCACTCAATTCTTTTCACAGTTTACTCCTAGGTCTCCCTTTGTAGATTAAAATACCTTCCACCTGGAATTCCTCCTCAATTTGCTCTTCATTCCATTCACTTGACTCCTCCTTACCATTTTCCCCAATACCACTTGACATTTTAGGCTTCTGTGCTTTCCTTATACTAATCTTCCTTTATGGATTACTTTCTACTCTCCTCTATGCCCCCTGCCAGATATATCTACGCCCCCCACCAGATATATACTAACTGTAGGATGGGAAAACATTTGTTTCTTTAGAGTGCTCTTTCCTCTGTCACCCTGCTATCCTTACTGTGAGCTCCCACATGTTATCCATGCTAGGAGTAGCCCACCATTCACATTTGCTGATGGTTGGCCCCCTCACTGGAGAATAAGTTCCCAGAGGTTAAAAAATATACCTAATTTATCATATCATTCAGAATGCTTAGCTCCATGTCTGAACATAAAGTAGACCATAAGTGAATGGTAAATGTATGGCTTATAAAGACATTTGGCTGTGAGGCAATAGAAAATATGGCTAATAATGGATTAAGTAAAGAAGGATTTATTTATCTCTCCTAATGATAAAAGGCAGGAGAAGAGAGTTGCTTAAGCATTTGAACAAGGAATCAGGCTTCATCTTTCGTGTTGGTGGTTTCCTGTGGTCCTAAGATCATTGCTTTACCTCAGGCATCATGCCTGCTTTCTAGGCCGAAAGAAGGAGGGGGTGGGGGAAGCTAACAGAGGGTCTTCTAGCTCAGGATTTCTCAACTTTGGCGCTGTTGGCATTTGGGGCTCATAAGTTTTTGTTGCGTGTGTGTGAGGTGTCTGGTGCATTGTATTAGTAGGATGGTTAGTAGCATCCTTGGCCTCTGCACACCCCACCCACTCACTCACCCGGTTATGACAACCAGGACTTTCTCCACAAGTTGCCAGATGTCCCTTAGAGGTAAAATCATCCTGAGTTGAGAACTTGAGAATGATTGGAGCCTGGAGGAAGGAAATTCCTCATTTCCTACTTCCCCTTTTTCTTTGCACTGCCGTGGTGGTAAGGATCTGTTTGATTTTTTGGTTAATAAATGGGAGAGGGCTCCCATTTATTGATGAGATTAAAAAAAGAAAAAATGGGAGAGGAAGGGCCAAACAAGCCTTCTCTTTGAGCATTTTGTCTTTCTTGTCATGTGGACATTCTCCCCATAGACTTCAATACCTACCAGAACTGTGTCAAATGGCTACTTCTAGGTACCCGACAGGTTGGAAAATGTGTCTTTCCTTTGGCATGATTTTCCTTGGAGAAAATCAGAATCTGAAAAAAGAAGGGGAAACAGATTTGGGGCTGAAAACTAAAAGTTTTTGCCACTGTGAAAGAATAAATGAATATGTAAAATTTCACCTAAATACTTTAGAATTTAGAAAGGAGAAAAAGTAAAGAAAAAAAGTAAATAGTCATAGAAGAGGATAGATGTAAATTTTTCACATGCTAAATATTCATAAAATAACTGTGATAAAACTGATTTTCTTTTTCCT